TATACATGATAATTTAATGATCTTGATGATTTTCATAATGATATTTGCTCTTTCGATTTTAAACTATGATGTATGATTTTCATACGAAAAACTTGAGCATGCTTATATGAAATCAACCACTTAAAATGTATCACATAAAAAGAAAAATATATTATTGAATTTAAAATCATGAATCTATTTATGAATTTTGTGAACCATGAAATTGATTTTGATGATTTGAATTTAATGGGTTTTATCAAAATTACGATCTTGATTTCTCGAAATTTATAACATGAAATCTTTTATGAATCAAGATTTCTTACTCTTTTTTCTCTTGTATTTTGAGAAAATTTTTAATATGAATCATAAGAGTTCATGAATTGAAATCTTTTTCTCCTACGTTTCCTTTTGTCATTTACTAAAGAGTAAAATTATTCAAATGAATCATGAATGTTCTTTCGGTATTCATGAATGAATGATAACTTGAAAATCTTTTATGAGTCAAGATTTTTCATGATCTCCTAAGAATTTGTTTCGTCATTTTATTTAAGAGGAGATTTGTTAAAATGAATCATAATTTCTCTTGATTTTCACAATTTGTCTTCATTATTTGTGTATCTTATCACCAAATTTCTCTTGATATTTTTCATGTGATGATATGAAATTATGCATGAAATACTCTTGATATTATTTTGATGCATACGAATGAGAAGTTATGATCATGCATGGTATAACGTAATTTGACGTTTTGATACCATCATGATTTGAAATATTTATGATTTAGAATGATGCATACAATACTTATGCTTTTTATTATAATGATGTATGTGATGTATTGCATATGATGTGTATCATGAATACTCTAAATGATGAATGTTTTGTATCATGATCAAAATGTTGATAAATGCTTAAAATTTTTTATGTTTTAGTATCATGTATGATATGCTCATAATAATGATTGATTTATTTTTCGGTATCATGCATGAAAAATGATATATAAGGTTTTAAAATTGTGCATGTTTTAATTTGAAAATATAATGATGCATAAATAAAATTGATACTTTACCCTTATCATGATTTGAAGATTATAGTAAAAGAAAATGAATTACACTATTGTATTGTTATTCCCTTCTATTTGATAATGACATAGGGGGAGCAAATTTTGCTAGCTTGCTAGCTAGCTTGCATACTTCAAGAAGAAGCAAAAGTGTTGTTTTGCAAATCTTAAGAGAAGCAATATGTGCTAAGTTACACATTTCAAGAAGAGGCAAAAAATTGCTATCTTGAACATCACTAAAAATTACTATCTTGTTTATCTCAAGAAGCAAAACATGCTAAACTTGCACATCTAGTAAAATTTACAAACTTGTAAAACTCAAAATTATTGCTAGCTTACATGATGATAAAACTTGAGATTATATTGCAACGATTTGAACTTATATTTTCAAACACATGGGAATTGAACTTCTCCTTTTTGTTGATGATAAAGGGGGAGAAGTATGATCATGTTATGCATGATGACGTATTACAAATATTCATGATGAAATTTGCAATGACTTGAATTTGGCTTGAATTCAAGATTCTATCAATATGCCATATTGATAGGGGGAGTTTGTTTAAACTCCGGGAGTTAAGATTAACTCCGTCATCGATTGGTTGTCATTATAAAAAAATGGGGAGATTGTTGAATCTCGGATTTTGATAATGAAAGCAATTTATAAGTGTTTATGTTTTAATCTGTGTTTTGAGTGACGTAGTATATTTCGATCAGGATGATACAATTAAAGTAGGAAAAATCATGTTGTGCCGGAGGAAAACATGTCAGAAGATTGGATGTCGAGTCGGAGGATCGGTCAACGTATCGACAGAAGGCTTCGAGCCATGGATTCGGGCATCAGGCCAAGAAGAGCAGTTGCGGAGTCAATTGACTGATTGGGCAATACGCCGCAAGAGAGGACGATACGCCGAAGAATCGGACGAAGCATCGAGGGACCAATGACATATTGGACAACATGATTAATGCTTAGTATTAATTGTCTAGATCGAACTGTGTTTTTACATGTACAAGATTAACTACGATAGCAAGACATAAATCAAAATGAAGTTCCGAAGTCATGGACGCTATTTCGTTGGGAGTTCGAGAGTTCGTTGGAAGTCCAAACGTTTGTCAGAAGTTTTGCCGAGAAGTCCAGGAGCTTGCCAAAGAAGCTCGTCGGAACTCGCCAAGAAGATTATCGTGAAGTCCAGGAGCTTGCCGGGAGTCCGCCGGAACATTGCCGAGAGATCGTCAGAAGTTCGTTGGAAGATCATCGAAAGAAACCAAGACAAACTTACTTGTTTAGCTTAGAATATGTCTTAAGAATCATAGTTAGCACGCAATTAGGTTTAGATTTGGGCCAACCCAATTAGGGGCCAATTGGGCCCATGTAAGGATTGTGTTGGGACCAATGAGAGGCCCAAATAGTGCCCCAAGAAGTGGCACCGTTGTGGCACAGTCTTTGAGACTGTGTCAAGCAGTAGTATCGCTAGTCTGGGTGGTTGTACCGCCCCTGGCAGGGTGTCAAACGGTGGTACCGTTAGTCTGGGCAGTGGTACCGCCAGACACCCTACCAAGGGCGGTACAACTGCCCAGACTGACGGTACCACCGCCTGACACAGTCTCGAAGACTATGCCATGACAGTGCCACTTCTTGAGGCATTGTTTGAGGCTATTATTGGGCCAACACAGTCCTTACATGGGCCCAACTAGCCCCTAATTGGGTTGGCCCAAATACAAACCCAATTATGTGCTAACTACGATTCCTAAGACATATTCTAAGCTAAACAAGTCTGTTTGTCTTGGTTTCTTCTAGCGAGCTTTCGGTGAACTTCCGACGATCTCTCGGCAATGTTCCGACGAACTCCCGGCAAGCTCCTGGACTTCACAACGATCTTCTTGGCGAGTTCCGACGAGCTTCTTTGGCAAGCTCCTGAACTTCTCAGCAGAACTTCCGACGAACTCTCGAACTCCCAATGAAATCGCGTCCTTGACTCCGGGAATTCATTTTGCTTTATGTCTTGCTATCGTAGTTAATCATACACATGTAAAAACACACTTCGATCTAGACAATTAATACTAAGCATTAATCATGTTGTCCGGCATGTCATTGGTCCCTCATCGCTTCGTCCGATTTTTCGGCGCATCGTCCTCTCTTGCGGCCTATTGCGCAATTGGCCAGTTGACTCCGCAACTCCAATATCCTTGGCACAATATCCGCTCCTTGGCCCGATACCCGAATTCATGGCCCGAAGCCTTCTGTCGATACGTCGACCGATCCTCCGACTCGACGTTCAATCTTCTGACATGTTTTCCTCCGGCACAACATGATTTTTCCTGCTTTAATTGTCTCATCTTGATCGAAACATACTGCGTCACTCAAAACACAGATTAAAACATAAACACTTATCAATTGGTTTCATCATCAAAATCCGAGATTCAACAGCAATATCAAAATTTTTGTGAGCTTAATAAATATTAGAATAAAGTGATTACTTTAAATTTTTTTCTTTGAATAATATTTTAGTTTCTTCACATCCACTAATCATCTTCTTAATCTTCTTATAAACTTGATTACAATCATTAAATCATCATTTCGTTAATAATAATCAAGTTTTTTTTTTTTGCAAGGACAACGATGAACATTAGATTTGTTATACATTCTTTCTTTTGAATAATAGCAGTTTTTCGTATTCTCTTTTTCAACTTTCTTCACTATCATTCTTCTTTTGTATTTATCTTTAGCATCTTCTTCACCTATATGTTAAAAATGTTCACCTGCATAAGACGAAAAGATGTGGACTAAAAAGGATAATCTCACATCGCTAAAGATTATGATAGTTAGATTACATATACTACTACTAGGTTTGGTACATAATCCAGAAACTTGAGCTTTTGGATTGAATTTGTATCTGACCTATTATATATAATCTCTTTTTCTTTCTTTTTTTCCATCCCACTCGTTTTTCTAACAGCCTATCAGACCTGATGAATTGGTTGGACATATGCCCCATTCATCCATCCCTCTTCTTCAGCGCCTTTCCTCTTATACCCACCCCCACCCCCCGCCCCCCTCGAAAACCACTCGATTCTCTTCATCACCCAAATTTAGGTATACGCATCATAAACTGATAACCTCAAGGCCTAATCAAAGAAGAAGTTACGGTAAGATTGAGACTTACAATCACGAGAGTCGACAGTGATTTCGTCGACTCTATAAGAGGAGGAGGCGGCGGCGGCGGCGTCGGCGATGGCGACTGAGAACATAGGGAAGAGGATCACCAGACGGGCCGTTTGCCCCATTGGTGCTGGGAAGGAGAGAAAGGGCCACACGGGAATGGATCCTCCCCTTATAGTAAATCTAGTTGACAACTTGGGTTATGTAAGTATTAAATAAATGACGTCAAGTGGACAATTGGACGTACCAACACTCCGTGCTACTTTAAGACACAGGATTGCAAACGAAAAGTTGGATGATAGAGGCAAGAGAGTCATCATGTTCATAAACTCGAGGTTAGTGTCGAAAAGTTTTGCAAGGTGCAATTAGAAAGAATATTAAGAGATGGCATTTGGCTCAAAAATCTAGAATTTCTTGGTCAAATCTGGTTACGCTAAACCAAAAGAACACCCATGCTCTTGTAAATGGAAGAATCATAAATGATCGAGCAGAATTCCAATGATAAGGGTCTGATGCTTTCGGCACATCCGAGGCTTCCTATGATTTGGATTTGTCCTCTCTGCACAATGGACACAGCTGCACAGATTTCTTGAAGGTTTTAGGTGAGAACTTTCGATTTATGGGGTTACGACTTCAATGTTAAACAGATTATTACTTTTTCTTTTTCTTCTTGTGGTGAAAAGCAGGTTTGCATAATATAAATTGTGCTCGCAAAAGTAAGAAATTTTGAACCTATTAATTAGTTGCTTCATGGAATGATGAAAATTGCTTGAAACAACAAATGAACAATTGGTTGGCCTGCTACAGTCCAAAGCGGAAGCCACATGACGTGCTATCTTTGACCTTTGATGGGGGCTCATTGTCAACAACAAATGAATAATTGTTGTCCTGCTACAGTCCAAAGCGGAAGCCACACGAATTGTTGTTATCTTTGACCTTTGAAGGAGGCTCATCGCCAACAACAAATGAACAATTGGTTGTCTTGCTACAGTCCAAAGCGGAAGAAGCCACATGAATTGCTATCTTTGACCTTTGATGGAGGCTCATTGTCAACAACAAATGAACATTTGTTGTCCTGCTATCTTTGACCTTTGATGGAGGCCTAACTTGCGAGATGCTACACCGTTCATGTCTTCTCCGGCGTAAGGGATGTACACAGAAACGATGGCCAAGAAGGTATCAACTGTGAATCAAAAAATTCTGTTCAGGATAAGATTGGAAATTTAAAGTTTTCTTCTTCTCAATCAATTAGGATCATCGTTTTGGTTTTAGCTGCTGCATATGATAATTTATTCAAAGATCATAAATTGATTCATGTGTGTAAACTGTTATACATTCGAGTTAATGATTCACATGCTTTTCTATGTGAGGAACGAAGTAGGTAAAAACTCGCCAATATCAAGTTTATTTATGCCCTTCAAATCAATTTTAAGGCCATATAAATATTAGAAGACGATGACAAACGTAACACACTTGTTTATTATATTAATTAAATTTATTATATATATATATATATATATATATATATATATATATATATATATATATATATATATTACCAAGAGTAAATGATAAAGATAAAAATTTTATGTCAAAACCTTTACGAGATAAGTTAGTTAGTATCTTCAGTTAATGTACAGAATTAAACTTAGAATAAAGCATAAGTTTTAATAGTATGGCCTGATAAATAATTCAACAATGATTGCCGTCACTTGTATTATCGGATCGTGGTGTTTAATGAAAGCAGCAGTTCAATGATTAGGAAAACATAAAAAATTAATTTTTTAGCTATACTTTTCCAACTTTGTGTATGAAATAAATAATTCAACAATCATTGTCATTATTGAAATGTGCTGATGACGTCTGTCATCTACGTGGCCAGTTAGGCTCGATTCGCGCCCAAAAGGACAAATAAAGATTTGGTGGGCCGGACCATGTTTCTTCTGAATTCTGATTTCGTGGGCCGCTACCCGTTCGGAACCTTCCGGAGCTTTGCGCCGATTTAGGGTTTTCGTTTCGCCTATTGATTGTTGGATTTTGAGGATAGTGAGGATCAGATCTGTGCCTGGTTGGTCTTTTGTCTTGGATAGATCGGTCAGAAAAGGTACTGAGATCTTTCACGCTTTCGTACATTGTTAATTTGAGGTTTCTCGTTATAAATTGATTCTCCCACTATGGAATTGCCAAAGTTATGGTTTTCATCATGAATGGATCCGATTTGGTGTTATTCGGCTCAGATTTGCTGCAAATCTGCCTACTCAATTTTCACAGTTTTTCTCAAAAATCTTTGCTTTATGTGATTGATTAATCCTTTCCCCTCTTGCTTTGTATTCCTTGAATTTACCTTCATTAGGGAAATCGCTTCTGTGCACTTTGGATGAGTCGGGATTGGGAAATGGCGGTGAGGAGAGGAAACGCTCGAAGAGGTGAAAGTTTTTTTCTTCGGAGCTGCTAATTAAGGGAAGGCATTGGCAATGAAATTCAAAAGCAAAGGTATGTGCGCTAAATATCACTTCTTTTACTGTGGCTTTGTGCTCTTTTCCTGCTCGGACATGGCATACAAATAATCTTGCCTGAGCCAAATCCGGGGCACAAATGATCCGGTTCAGATATGCATCTGAGTTCTGTGTTGGAACTGGATTTCTGTATTAGGAGTAAGAGGGACATGTTGGAGAATAGAATTACTGAGCTGGATTTGTTGGAAAAAAGATAGAAACTTGATAGAGGCTAAGGTTGATAAGGAAAAGTTTTACAAGATGCAAATGGAAAGAATATCAAGAGATAAAAGAGTTACATTGGTGTCCAAAATCTAGAGTTTCTTGGTTAAGATGTGGTTACATCAACTCGAAAATACGACCATGCTACCATAAATGTAACAAGCGTAAATAATGTAGCAGAATTAGATAAGAAGCATTTATTGAATGTTTTTGGCTTTCTAACATTTAGATTTGTCCACTCTGTTTAGTGATAACTCTTGCAGAGATATCTTAAACGTTTTAGATGAGAGCTTTCAATTAACGATGTGGCAACTGCAATATGTAAGAGACTGAAAGATGGCCCTTGGGCTGGTAAGCTTGATGGTTCTAAATTCATTTTGTAACACAATTCTGGGGCATAATAAAGGATAATTCACTAGTGGTCCTCAGACATTTTTGGAGAAAAGTAGGTTTGGATAATCTAAATTATGCTTTCATTATGTTGGTGCCAGAAAAAGAAGGTGCTTGTAGAGTTAGAATTTACCTATTAGTCTGCTTCATGTGATGATGAAAATTGTTTCAAAGCATTCATGGGATGATTAAAATAGCTTCAAGATTCCAGCCATTGGTCCTTAGGAAGTTCTGAATTAAGTCATTGGCCCCATAGTGTATGTGGTTTCTGAATAACAAGCTGTCAATGCATATAAGGTGATTTCAGCTTGCTACAGGATATTGGGCTATGGATTCTTGATAAAATTAATTTATGAGGAATTTTTTGACGAATTTGGATGGTGTACTGGGAATTGAATAAACAAATGTGGCATGAAACAAGGAGGAGATCTACCAGCTTCTTATCTCTTTTATTTCTTATGATAATTTAATGTCCTGTGCATGATCATGAAGGATAAGTGTCACACTTTAGAATTGTTGAGAAGTAAATTTCAGGGCATGAAGAATTAAAAGGGCTGCCGAGATTTCTTGAATGTTTTTGATAAGAACTTTTGATTAATAAGGTTACAACTGCAGTGTTAAACAGACATAAGGATGGGGTCTGACGTTTATAGATTCCTTTTTTACACAGAATGTTGGAGCATTACAAAGAATGACTAACACATGGTTCTCACAGATCTTTAGAGGAAAAGTAGGTCTGGAAATTCTAAATTATGTTTTCATCACATTGGTGTCAGAAAAAAGGTACTTGCAAAGTAAGAGATTTTGAATCTATTAGTCTGCTTCACGTGATGACTAAAATTGCTTCACCAGTCCAGCCAATGAATTTTAGGGAGTTTTGTATAATGTTATTGACATTTAACCATACACGATCTAGGTGGTTTATGAATAGCTACCTCACCATGTATGAAGTGATTTCAGCTTGTCAAAAGATATCAGACAAATGCATCTTAATTGAATTACTTCTTGAAAATGCAGTTGTATGATGTACCCCTGATTTTTAGGAGATGGAAATTTTAGTTCAACATGGTAATCATTGGTTATGAATGCTTTGAAAGCTAGTCATTAGGCTGTTGTTCTAAATATTTTCACTTTTCTAAATTATTTTCTTCTATTTCTCTTAACTTGTTTTTTTTTTTTTTTCTCTTCTCCTCTCTGTTTCATCTTTGTGCTCCTGTAAGGTTATAAATACAGACAAAAGCTAGTGAAGATCAATTAAAAGGTCACTGTAATGTAATAGTTCATGAACAACAAATGAGTTTAGGAAAAGAACATGAGATGGAGTAAATAACGCGGAGTGACATATCCAATCAAACCTTATAATCAGAAGATGTGACTTGTCTCCTTAGGAAAATCACCATAGGCAGTCTCTTATGGGAACTCTGCAGATCCAATGCCACACAAATTAGCAATCATTTTGTTTGTCAAGCTGCAACGGGTTCGTAGTCTTACTCACCTGGCGCTCTTCGTCAGCCATCTTCCTCCCATTTCCTCTGGGTTGAAGTTGCCCCGGTCTTCCTTATGTGTGGTCTTCCTTACCATGCGACACTTCTAACCTGTGGCGACCTGTTCTACTTTTCGATAGAAATCTGACCTTACATGAACAATTCCACTTTTCGGAGGTTTCTCCAGCCTCTGTCGTCGCTTGTTGGGGCTCATTGTCATACCTTCGCATGTTAGGGCTAATTACATAGTACACCATGTAATTAGCTATCTTTAGTATTACAATCTTTATATTTTTAAAAGTTATATTGAGATTCATATATTTACGAAAGTGAAACATTTAATCTCGTTCGTCTTCATATCGTCGATTTTGTTGATGAAAATATCGTATGTGTTCAGTGATAAATCAAAGTGAGGTAGAGTCAACATGTGATAAGTGGTAAATCTTACAGTATTTTCATTAGCAGAATCGATGACGTGAGAAAAAATAATGTTAAATAATTCTAATATAATTTTTAAAAGTATAAGAATCGGAATGCTAAATGTAGCTAATTATAAGAGGTAATATGTAATTAACCCTTACACTTGATTGGGTCACACTCCAACGGACTTTCTTATCGGATCTCGTGGCTGGGTTCCACTCAACTCTTCCTCCCAGTCAAGCACAACCGAGATCTGGATCATTCGTCACTGAGCATAGCCGAGATCTGAATCCTCCATCGAGCATAGCCCTTCGCTGTTGAGCACAACCCTCCACCATTGAGCACAACCGAGATCTGACTCCTTTGTAGTTGAGTGCAGCCCTTCTCATGCCTTTGCATCAAATTAGGCGAATTCGTCGCCTACCTTGTCGCTGCCAAGATCATCCTGGAGGCCCGTGTCAGCACTGTTGGTCACGCCTGCTCTTGAACCTCCTGCATTGCTTCTTCGGCCTTGCCCGCCCAAGCTCTAGTTCAAGTACCTCCTGGTTCTACTCTCCTTGGCCCCATCGCTTTTCCTGCTCCTCTACTGCGAGTGGCAGCGGGAAGCTCTCTGTTTACTACCCGCTTGCTCTTCCCACCCGCCACCATCCGTTTCGGGTGCCTCAAGTAGACTCCTCTACTCATCCATGGTGAGTTAATCATCGCAGAGTTTGCCTGCTTGTCGTGGCCCCACCGTTTTTCCTCCTCCATTGCGAGTGGTAGAAGCTCCTGGCTCCCATCTGCCCATCTGCTCATCGAGTTTGTCGACGTTGTCGTCGCTTTTCATCTTCCCATCTGCTCATCGAGTTTGTCGACGTTGACACTTGGTTGAGTCCCACTCAGGCGGACTTCCTTCTCAGATCTCTTGGCTGGGTCCCACTCAACTCTTCCTCCCAGTTGAGCATAGCTGAGATCTGGATCCTTATTGTTGAGTATAGCCGAGATCTGAATCCTTCGTCGTTGAGCACAACCCTCTGTCTCCGTTGGAGCACAACTGAGATCTAGATTCTTCGTCGCTAAGCATAGTCGAGATTTGGATCCTCCATCGTTGAGCACAGTTGAGATCCAAATCCTCCGTCGCTGCGTACCACAAACGCTGCCACTCCTTATGGTCTCTGATCCTGTGATAGATAACCTGATCGATCTGGTCCTCGTCTTCCCATATCCTCACCGCAATTTAACTACTTACATTCAAAACTTGAGCTGGTTTCTACTAAATCATCTTTTAAGTTTGTAGTGGCGTGTTAAAAGCTACTACATAAAAGGGATCTATATCCCTTGATATGATCGTCATATATTTTACATGTACCCAGAATTGGATCAATAAAGTTACATACTTCTTCCTCCTGGTCTCACTTCTAAGATGGATGTCTGTCTTTTAGATGGGCCTGCAGGCATGTAGATCCTCGTTCTTTGCTTGCGGACCAGGTAAGAAGCTTTACCTAGAGACAGGACAAGTAGTGACACAATAAACACAAATGAGATGGGTGATCTAACCGCAGGAGACCCACACTTGTTTCCCGGAACAAGTCTGGAACATGGCTGCAAATGTAACTCTTGGATTCCTCCACACAGCTTATCATTCCCAGCGACTGAGTACAAATTGGCGTTCTTGAAACCCCCTTGGTCTGGCACTTGGCCTTGGAGATCGTTTAACGAAAGATTAAGAAACTTCATGTGTTGGAGTCGCTCGAAGGTCAGTGGGATGGGTCCTGATAAGTAATTGCAGGAGAGATCCAACACTTGTATGCCGCCTAGACTACTTAGAGAGTCTGGAATTGTTCCTTGAAGGTGGTTCCTTTGCAGGTAGAGGTACTGCAAGACTTGACATTCTCCTAAGGTGCTTGGAATTTCCCCAGATAGTCTGTTATCTGATATATCCAACACTTGAAGATTCTTCAAGCTTCCAAATTCTGATGGTAAAGGCCCTGTCAACAAGTTATGCGACAAGTTGAGGTATCGAGTCAAGGAGGAAAGCTCCGCTAGTTCTTTAGGAATGCTGCCCTCAAGCTCGTTGAATGACAAATCACACACTGTCAACCGTTGCAGGTTGTGAAAGCTCTTGGGAATCTCTCCCTGCAAGCTGTTATCGTTCAAGTATAGTCTTTCCAGCTGGGTAAGGTTGCCAACAGTGGACGGAAGAACTCCCGACAATCGATTACCGTTCAGGGACAAGATGTGCAGATTCTGAAGCTTGCCAATGGCTGCAGGAATGTCACCTGTGAAGAATGATAAGAGCTTGGCGGGTGATACGAAGCATGACTATAGATAAAACAACCAAGAATTTTAGTGTCTACCAGAATCACATGCTGTTCTAAAAACTAAATACTCTTATAGAAAATGGTAGTGTTTAGCTCATTCAGTTCACTTAATATCTGCCACAACTTGTTAGAGCTAGTTTCAGAATATTTACTGAAGGATAATTTTGACAACCCAACAAAAGTAATAAAGCGGAAGAATAAAAGAAACGACAAGAACACCAAATTTACGTGGTTCGATCAATTAATCTTGACCTACAAGTCTGATTTTCCCGATGTGAGACTATGAGACTTGTCAAAGTAACACAACTAGGTTGAACATCTTTGCTGCAAAATAAACTTAGAAGAATATTACTGACTAATACCAGCAAATGCTGAGGAAATTATATTTATTTCAAGCGAATTAATTCATAAATTTTAGCTCGACCAATCTGAGGAATACTGCAACGCGTTTAAACAGTACCTGCGAGGGCCATCTGATCCAAGTAAAGTCTGTGGAGGTGGGTGAAACTTCCTATCCCTGCAGGAATACTTCCATGGATCTCATTTCCTCCCAACCCAAGCCATTTCAATTGCGTCGATAGATTGGCTATAGCTGCGGGCAGAGTCCCCTCCAGCTTGTTGTATCCCAGGTCCAGAGTTCGGAGATTGCTGCAGTTGGCTAAGGAAGCGAGGAACTCCCAGTCCTCTGCTTTCTTTGCTTCCAATCTATTGTCACGAAGACTCAACGAAGAGAGATATCTTAGTCTGCCTATATCCCGAGGCAGCGGGCCACTAAGTCTGTTATATGGCAGAACGATTTCTGTAAGCCTGGAAGCATTTGGCAGTGAGATAGGAAGCGGACCTTCGAGAGTGTTACCAAATGCTTGAAGTACTTCGAGATTGACAAGCGTGTTGCCCATGTCAGGTGGCAGTGTTCCAGAGAGCTGGTTATACCCTACGTACAAGTAGCAGAGGGACGACATGTTAAAAATGTTGGCGGGGATCGCCCCTGTCAGTGAGTTCCCGGTGACAGAGATATGCACTAAGCTCTGGAGTCTTCCTAGACTCGGGGGTATGGTGCCCGTCACTCTGTTTCCGACGAGATCGATGTGAGTCATCGACGAGAGGTTCCCAAGGGAAGCAGGGATTCTCCCGCCGATGTCGTTGTAATGGAGGCTAAGGATTTGGAGCTTGGGGAGTGCACCAAGCGCTGCTGGGATTTCCCCAGCGAGCCTGTTGGAACCTAGACTTATCCGCCACAGGCTGGAGCAGTTGGCGAGGGTGCCAGGAATTCTGCCTTCGAGAGCGTTTCGGCTCAGAAGGAGAGACTCGAGGTGGGACAAACGGCCAAGCTCCGGCGGCAGCTGGCCTTGTAGGCTGTTGAGAGAGAGGTTGAGGCTCCTGAGGAAGGTCAGGTTGCCTATGTCGGGAGATATGGAGCCGGTGAGGCCAAGATTGGCCAAGTCCAGGGAAGTCACCCTTCCGGGGTTTTGGCTGTTACCACATGTCACCCCCGGCCACTGGCAGAATGCAGTGCTGGAGTTGTGGCTGTCCCATGAGGACAAGGAAGCGGGAGGGTGCAAATGAGCCTTGATAGAGAGGAGTGCGGGTAGGTCGTCGGTGTCGCTAGTCATACCGGTGGCGGAAGCAGCTGGCCGCTCCGAGAAAAGGAATGAAAGAATGAGCGCGGAGGAGGTTAACACCCGCAAGGTTGATTCAAAGGTTCGTAACGAATGGAGAAAGAGGAACATCATCATCGAAAGTTAAGGCGCCCAGAGACAATTCAATTTAAGAAGGCGGCGGGATTATGGAGTTGCATGCCCGGTCCATATACTTACTTCTGGTGCGAGGATTGACGCTGTCAGCACGTAATCGGCACGTCACAACTTCACTCATCAATTTCTCTCTGAGACATTGGGTAATAGTATACATATGTTCAATCAAAATCGGTGATTTCCATATTGATCTGTATAAATTTTGGTTTAATATATATACTTACAAACCTATAATTTTGATACAATCAATTGACTATTATTTGAACGTAATCGAGAAATCAATTTGACATCTATAATTTTGAAACTATGTTATATTTTTTGACACTTTACATTTTATATTTTTTTCTAACTCATATTAACTGATATTAACTGACATGTAAAATTTCCTATTAAAAAAAGACTCTTGGAAAATATTGATGCTTTGTCATAAAGCCTTAAGTTGTACGTAACACGAGTTATTAGGTGTCAAACATATGTTCATTTTTCTTTTTCTCTAAGTAAAATATATTAACTAAATCATCAAAGTCAAAAAAAAAAAAAAAAAGTTGCTATGCGTCATAGTACAAAAGATATGCCAACTGAGAAGGTCACTCCTCTCTTTATAAAAATAAAGTTTTGGTTAGCCTAACATGATTAGCTAACCACTTAGTAAATTCATTTATTTCTCTATATATGTGAGGGATTAAGAAAGAAACAAAAAGCTTTTACAAATTTCAAATATCCTCAATTAAATTTTATAATATCTAAAGAACAATGATCGTCCTAGATAGAATCTAAACTAATATTTTTGAGAATTCGATTTCACATGTAGCAGCTTAACATCATATTACGTAAAAACCTTTAGCTTATTTCACATCATCATAATTTTACAATAGAAGATGTTCATTTCTTCAACACACTTACGTCCACCAACAAAAGATTACGAGTATCATTTTTTAAAAAAATCTCAAAACTACTATATAGGATCCATAACGATCAAGCTTTACTCATCCCATTTATAGTCTACACCTACTACTAAATTCGCCCTTGCTTAACTATTAGACAGTTCGTAAGAAGCCAACAACAAAGCAACAATCTTTTTTTTCCCAGATATTTTTTTAGTTGTAATTGGGCCCTTTATCGCAATCAGCGAAAGTTTCCAAACATGTTCTGTAATATCCCGTTAGTCCCACGTCGAAAGTGGGGAATGTGTATGATTAGCTTATAAGGGCTTGATGAGTATACTACGAAAACTCCCGTTTAAACATTTTGATCCGTAGGACCAAAATGAAGTTATTGGCTAGTTAACTCATCAAATTACCACATGTACATCTAGATGGATTCGGTGCAACTAATCAACACCCAACAACTCGTGGATAATGGCGTCTAATATGTTTATATCTAAGATACAACGATTCTTTATTAAGTCATCATTAAGATATTATTATTATTGTTGTTATTCTTGTAACCAAGAACGAGTCATTACAAGTGACGCCAGACATCACTATCTCTTACGAATTATTACAAATTAAAAACCGAAGACGGCCGACAAAAGTAGCGACCGTACATTATGTAAAGCGGGTCGACGCCTACCTCCCTTATGAATATATTTCACGGACATCACATATGGAGCCCACCGGTGGGTGACGTTAGCGCGACCTCGCGCGGTCTGTGAGACGGTGGACGAACACGACATTGACCGACAACATTATTCGTATTAATTATATTGACCTCAGGCGGCCGTTTATTTTCATAAGGGTTTGGTATTTTCCCATCAGATTATTATTTAAATTATTTTAGGTTAGCGTGACTTGACGCCTAATGGGTTAGGTATGTGAAAGGTACGTAATTGTTTTTATGTTAAAGTTAAATTATAAAATATGATGATTAATTCAGATGATAAAGATTTTGACAGATACATCTATCAAATAGAACTAAATGATCCGATATCCATCCCTGTATATGTATACTTATATAAGTTGAACATTTAAATTTAATCAATTGACTGTAATTTAACTGCAGCTGAGGCATCAATTTGACATTAATAATATTTGAAGATACATTATAGTTTTTCGATTCAAATTAATTAATACCAACCATAGATATATGCAACGAATCTTAATTTTTAAAAGAGCATTTATGTCATGTTAGAACTCTAACGATAAGTAATGTAAGTGTATTCAACGAGGTGTAATAATAATCTATGCTCTAAACAGAGTCATTGCTTAGGTGCTCCTCTTGTTTTCATAGAAGAAGGACGTATTGGGGTTATCCGCAGTCTACCTTCACTCACACGTCTTCAGATAGATTTCCTTGCTTGTGCACCATTTTTTGAGGGATAGAGTAAGAGCTCATTGCTTGATAATTATTGATATACCAAATTAAGTTTTTTAAAAAATATCATATCGATAATTACATTTATCTGGAAATACATATATGTTTGAATTTATCTATATTAATTAATCAAACCATGATTCGATATCATTTATGCATGGATAGTCTTTCCACATATTTACACGTTATTTACACTGCACATATTTACACGTTAGCTACTGTCACCAAATATTTACATGTCGGCTCCTCTCCTATTCTCCGCTAGGGTTCCTTCAACAAGTATCCTCCTCGCAACATGCAACGTTTTGATCACGTCTTCCATCTCCATTCTGGCAGTCGCCGATTCGTTTGAGCATGAGAGGCCAACTTTGATCACCGAAAGCAGACATTTATGGATCCCCTTATCCACGTTAGCCTTTGCATCTTTTTCATGCAACAGCAACGATGGGTCGACTATATCAAATATCTGTGCTGGATAAGCCATTTTCACGTAACGATGAAGGTTTTCTCCATCCTTAAAATGGGAATCTGTGGGTCTTCTTCCGCTGAACATCTCCAGCATAAGTACTCCATAACTGTAGACATCCACTTTAGTGGAGACCGTCCCGCCCAAGCCGTACTCTACAATCATAAGTACAACCAAAGACAAGAATTTTGATGCCGCTGACAAAAAAATGCTACCCAAGGAGTTTACGAACAACGAATGAGTTAGAGAAAAAGAGTATGAGATCGAGTAAATGACCTGGAGCGACATATCCAATGGATCCTTTTAACCGAGAGATGCGACTTATCTCCTTAGCAAGATCACCGGAGGTCGTCTCTTTCAGCAACTCTGCAGATCCAAAGTCACACAAATGAGCAACCATATCATTGTCAAGAAGCACATTGCTTGGCTTCAGATCACAATGAACAATGGTTGTCCCGCTATAGTGATGCAGATAGTCCAAAGCAGAAGCCACATCGATTGCTATGTTCAGTCTCTGGAGGAGAGTTAAGGCGCTCGATGCATCACCATTCATGTCTGCTCCGGGATGCAACCAGTCGTTTAAACTCCCATTGGGCATGTACGCAGTAACGATAGCCAAGAAGGCATCGCCATTGTGATCTGCACTAGAGCAGACTGTTAAGATCTTGTTGACATTTCGATGTCTGATTGCTCCTAAAGTTTCACATTCTGCTTTAAAGCTCTGAAAGGCCCCGACTTGTAGAGTATCGAACACCTTAACAGCAACGTCGATCGAATCGTAGCTCATGGTTCCCCTGTACACTTGACCAAAGCTTCCCCGGCCTATGATATTGGATGGGGAGAATCCATCAGTTGCTCTGTATATCTCGCTGTAAGAAGCAATTGGATACTGTCTTTTAGATGGTACTACAGGCATGCACTTCCTTGTTCTTTGCCTGTGGAGCAGGTAAGAAGCTGCAGCCAGAGACAATACAAATATTGTCACCGTAATCACAATTGAGACGAGTGACCTAACTGCAGGAGACCCGCCCTTCTTCCCCGGAGCGTGATCGGGGCATGGCTGCAAATGCAACGCTTGGATTCCTCCACACAGCTTATTGTTTCCGGTGACCAAGTAAACATTGGCGTTCCTGAAAACCCCTTCATTTGGCACTTGGCCTTGGAGGTCGTTGAATGAAAGATTAAGGAACCTGACGTGTTCGAGTCGCTCGAAGGACAGCGGGATGTGTCCTGATAAGTTGTTGCAGGAGAGATCTAACACTTGGACGCCGGTGAGACTACCGAGCGAGTCTGGAATTGCTCCTTCAAGGTGGTTTCCTTGCAGGTAGAGGTACTGCAAGACTTGGCATTCTCCTATGGTGCTTGGAATTTCCCCAGATAGTCTGTTCTTTGATATATCCAAGGCTTCAAGATTCTTCAAGCTGCCAACTCCTGCTGGCAGAGGCCCCGTGAACAAGTTCCGTGACAAGTTGAGGTATCGAGTTAAAGAGGTCAGCTCTGTAAGTTCTTCAGGAATGCGGCCCTCGAGCTTGTTGAATGATAAATCACACACAGTCAACTGTCGCAGGTTGCCGAAGCTCTTGGGAATCTCTCCCTGCAAGCCATTGCCGTTCAAGTAGAGGTTTTCGAGCTGGGTAAGGTTGCCGACAGCGGATGGAAGAACTCCCGACAATTGATTATCGTCCAAGGACAAGACGTGCAGATTCCGTAGCTTGCCGACGGCTGCAGGGACGTGACCTGTGAAGATGCATGCATGCGAGATGCAAAGAGAAAGGATAGTTTCATAAACGTTAAGGATAAAGAGAGTCGAATTATATATATATATTATATTTAACTTAAACATAAGCTGTTGAATCAAATTAGTGTTTGTTAACTATTGACTCAGACCCATGAAATTTTGACACGGGTGATATAAAGAATCAAGAATTGTGATGATACAATTCTGCAAGGTCAGATATACAAAATCCATAATTATTCTTTTAGGGATATCATCATAAATTTAATATACAAAAATTTTATGCAGGTATCTTCATGAATCGAACCACGTAAATCTATCATGAGCCAACTTCTTTATGAATCTGAGTTCCACTGGTCTCAGGACTACTGCGCGTTCGAAACAGTACCTGTGAGAGCCATCTGATCCAAGTGAAGTCTTTCGAGGTGGATGAAGCGCCCTATCCCCTCGGGAATACTTCCATGTACCTCGTTTCCTCCCAAACCAAGCCATGTAAGTTGTGTCGATAGATTGACTATCGTGCTCGGCAATGGCCCCTCCAGCTTGTTATATTCCAGGTCCAGGGTTTTCAGATTGCTGCAGTTGGCTAAGGAAGTGAAGAACTCCCAGTCCTCAGCTTTCCTAGCTTCTAATTCGTTGGCACGCAGATTCAGCGAAGATAGATATCTTAGTTTTCCTATATCCGGAGGCAGAGGTCCAGTAAGTCTGTTATATGGCAGAACAATTTCTCTAAGCATAGAAGCATTTGGCAGTGAGATAGGAAGTGGACCTTCAAGAATGTTACCAAATGCTTGAAGTACTTCAAGACTGACAAGCGTGTTGCCCATGTCAGGTGGCAGTGTTCCAGAGAGTTGGTTATACCCTACGTACAAGTAGGAGAGGGACGACAGGTTAAGAATGGAGACGGGGATCGCCCCTGTCAATGAGTTCCTGGTGACAGAGATGTGCACTAAGCTTTGGAGTCTTCCTAGACTCGGTGGTATGGTGCCTGCCAGTCTGTTTCCCACGAGATCGATGTGAGTTACCGACGAGAGGTTCCCCAGGGAAGCAGGGATTCTCCCGCTGAGGTCGTTGTCATGGAGGCTAAGGATTTGGAGCTTGGGAAGTGCACCAATCTCTGCCGGGACTTCCCCGGCGAGTCTGTTGGAACCTAGGCTTATACGCCACAGGTTGGAGCAGTTGGCGAGGGTGACAGGAATTCTGCCTTCAAGAGCGTTTTGGCTCAGAACGAGCAACTCTAAGTGTGACAAACGGCCGAGCTCCGGCGGAAGCTGGCCCTGCAGGTTGTTGAAGGAGAGGTTGAGGCTCCGGAGGAAGGTCAGGTTGCCTATGTCGGAAGATACGGAGCCTGTGAGGCCCAGATTGGCTAGGTTTAGTGCGGTCACCCTTCCGGGGTTGTTGCTACTACCGCATGTCACACCCGGCCACTGGCAGAAGGGGATGCTGGAGTTGTGACTGTCCCATGAGGACAAGGAAGTGAAAGGGTTTAAATGAGCCCTGATGGAAAGGAGAGCGGATAGGTCGGAGGTGTCACTGGTTACACCGGTGGCAGAAGCAGCTGGCTCCGACAAAAGGAATGGGACGATGAGCGCGGATGTTAAAGTTAACAGCCACGAAGGTGATCCAAAAATTATGAAGGGATCGAAAAAGAAAGACATTTAATGGAAGTTTGAGCCTCCGCGGAGAAAGCAAGTGAAGCTACGAATAGATTGGTTGAATGCTGTTCGAAAGTGGTGTGATATATGTACTTATACGACTCCATTGCAGTCACAACTCCTCTTGACATTGACTCGTGTACCACTCTTGGGCAGATTCTTTCAGAAAAATCATTATTTTTCACATAGTGACGTTTTCTTACCTTTATTTCATATCATGAAGTCTTGTCATGCCCCCATCATCGCCTCCTATCTCTCATCTCTGGTGACCCCCTCCCATGGAAATGACTAGGATGACAGTGAAGAGGGACGGTAGAGCGTCACGGGCGAAGGGGCAGGACTTGGCAGGACGACAGCGTGATGCGGTGGCGATAGGATAATGCAGTGGACAAAGTAATCTTTTTTATAAAAAAAACATAAAAAAAAAAGAATGCACCGTTAGAAATAATAAAAGTTTTATTATAAAAAAAGAATTCACCCCATACTAAGCAATGACATCAGATACTATTAGAAGACTGTTGACCAGACTAAGCGTTGTATATGAATTCTAGATAGTCAGGTCAATGATAGTAGGTCAACGTTAAAAATTACCAGTGACATCAGATAAGGGTAGACCAACGTTGTGAAAATGTCCTTCGTAATATTGTATTGACACTGTATAGAAAATTATGGTTCGGGCACCACTTTCGCATACCTCATTTTATACAACTGAACTGTCGACATAAAACATCCTCGATATTAATTTTCTCATATATATATATATATATATATAT